ACTCCACCATAAATGCCTGACTGGTGGAGTGCTGCAGAGATGATGGTCCTTCTGTACGGTTCTCCCATCTCCTCAGAGGAATGCTGGAGCTCTGTCAGAGTGACCATCAGGTTCTTGGTCACCTCCCTGACCAAGGCCCTTCTCCCCCCGCTTGCTCATTTTGGCTGGGTGGCCAGCTGGTTCCAAACGTCTTCCATTTCTTAATGATGGAGACCACTGTGCTTTTTAGGATCTTCAATGCAGCAGATATTTTTCTGTAACCTTCCCCAGATCTGTGCGCCGATAGAACCCGGTTTCAGAGGTCTACAGACAATTCTTTCAACTTCATGGCTTGGTTTGTGCTCTGACGTGCTCTGTCAGCAGTGGGATCTTATATAGACAGGTGTGGCTTTCCAAATCATGTCCAATCAGCTGAATTTGCCACAGGTGGACTGCAATCAAGTTGGTGGAACATTTCAAGGCTGATCAGTGGAAACAGGATGCACCTGAGCTCATTTTTGAGTTTTATAGCAAAGGGTGTGAATACTTATGTATATGCAACATTTGAGTGTCTTATTTTTAATAAATTTGCAAAATGTTCTAAAAAAAAAAGTTTTTCGCTTTGTCATTATGGGGTATTTTGTGTAGAATTTTTGAGGGAAAAAAGGAATTTAGTCCATTTTGGAATAAGGCTGTAACATAACAAAATGTGGAAAAATTGAAGTGGTATGAATACTTTCCGGATGCACTGTACGTCACTGATGCCTCACTGGCAGGTTTCCACAGTGTCAGGCACATTTCAGTGCAATAAATAATCAACAACAACCAATATTCTGAGTCAGCAAATACATATAGATCTATATAGATATATTCTGATCTATATCTGATCTGATGAGCGCGTTTGTCACGCGTTTGGACTCTGAACTTGACCAAATTAACACAGCTGAAACCGCATTGAATTAAAATAAATATGTAGTTAATAAACACACATGATGAAGTTAACAAGATATTTAATTCGTCTCCCCCTATTTCTATCTTCCTCTTCATCTTATTTCTCGCACAGCTCGACCTGGACATGTCTCCGTGTCCTCTCTCCCATCCGGTCTCCCATTTTAGTGCCGGCGGGCACGAAAATGTCAATGCGCCAGCTGTTTCTGTTGACACCACCCCCCTACTGTGCTGTCATACCCAGCTTGGTGCTTCTTGGTGCGCATAAGATGCTGCTCTGCACTAAATTATCACTGCGCAGGGTGTGCCATTCTGCACGGCGCTGCTGGTGGGCAAGAAAATAGAGCCACCAGTAGGATTTGGGGTTAACTAACTGGCTTTTCTGTATGATCAGAGGTTATAAGATAAGATATAAATATTCTGTAGCTTGGTCAAGAATCTTCTATATGCTGTGAGCTTCTGTATTCAATTTTTTTGTATTGTCTTAAATTTTTGGTGAGCGACAGAGAGAGAAAAAGAGAGAGAGAGCTTTATTATGCTAAGACTTCTCCTGTTTTTACTTTCTTGTTTTTTTGTAGTAATCTTCAAGTTTTAAATTTTGCTTATTCACTTATTTTGACAAGTCACTAATTGATTCAAATTTCAAAGTTATGATTTTTTAGTCAAATGATAGATTTTTTATTTTTTTTATGATTGAACACTAGTTTGACCCTGAACCAACTACAGTGGAGTGAAAATTTGGACAGGAAGACTATCCTACATGCTGATTTTTTGTCTCTATGTTGTATCCACTCCTCCAAATATGCTCACTTACATTTTCAGTGGTCATCTGCTATCCTCATCAACTGCTCATATCTAGTCGAAAACCTCATCATATACCTTGTTTTGCTGTTGTCATAACAATATCATGTTTCTCTTTCTGCAGTTTATTCATGACAATGATGCACACTTACAACCCTGCCCCCACCAGTCTCTGCACACTAGCGTCTGCTGCAGCTCAGAGTGGATGTCCTTCCATCATCCTGTCTCTCTGTAGTGAGAAGCTGGTAATAATTCAATATAACGTTAACTCAAGAAAATAAATCAGATCTTGTACTGCACAACATCACTGAAACTTCTCTGGCTCTGTTGTCCAATGACATCTTTCTTTGTTCAGACAGTGCAAAAATTTCAGTCTTAGCTCCATTACATGTCAGTACTGCATTCAACACAGTTCACTACACTGCATTATTATACCAGCCAGAGAACTGAAGACCAGTTCAACTATCATAATCAAAGGATAAAGACTACTTTGTCTTGGTAACTCTACATCTGAGCAGACAACTATGACACAAGGACCTCTGTTCAATTTTAATAACCCCAAACTTTCACTGGCTCAGGTTATGGAGAGAAAAAAAGAGTTACCCTAACTAACCACCTAAACGATTCGTAGATCTAGGTTGTGATATCACCAAAAGATCTGATTTTTTTCTCAGATAAACCAAAACAGAACTGAAGAAGTTGTTTTTGGAGCCAAAGGGGAGCAATTAAATGTCAACTACAGCTTTACAAGAGAAAACTACTGAACCAAGCTAGAGATCTGAGCCCAGTCAAGGGCCAACCTTATGAACCCCACTCTCATCTTAATAATAAAGCGCGGTTATGGCAGGACTTGTGTTGAAGTATCTTGAAAAACTTGGTAACTCAATGACCATGAATGTGTTGTTCTGGGTCTGTCAAGAGCTGCAGCTGATTGAGAGTCCTGCTGAAAGAGTCCTCACCAAGATCAAGAAAGTGGCTCCGTCTGTCACAGAATAGAAAATAGTACTGTATAAAGTGTTGTACGGTTTAGGCCCAGAAAATGTGATTTTATTGTACGCTACAAACTATTAAGATTACCTAGGTCGTCAGGAGTAGGTCCAAGTCACAGCAAAGGATGCAGCATTCAGTATTTTTAACGCATATATCTGGAGTAAACTGTACTTTTTGCCACTTTTCCACAGAGCAGATCATGGCGTCATTAAGCTCAGAAATTTTGAGCAACATTTTTAACTTTGGGTGCAGGGTTGAGCAGTCTGAAACAAAATACATACTAGTTTCTAAAAATGCTTGATGTTGAAAAGGTCTTTTCAAAATCAGTTTTTACAGGACAAATCATAACAGTATCCCATACACTGTGTTAATTCACATATTGACATGTGATTTGTGTCGATAGATTTGAACTAAATTTATGTCCACGGGATCATGACTGTAGGTTTGTTTACGTGCAATATTACTGACCATTCTCTAAAATACCACAAGTTTTAATGACTGACCTAATCGGGAGCCAGCGGTGGGGTTCACCCAACTGGACAGTCAACTGAGAAAAACAAAGAAGAAAAAAAAAACTATGGGTAGACTAGGTTTCTTAATACTGGTTGCAGCGCATGAACAAACTTCATTTAAAGAAAATAACAAATGTGACGTGAATTGTCTGAATTTTTTGTTGCATTCAAACTGAGCTGCCTTATAATGCCACAGATATTGTTGTATCCATGAACACACTAACAATCATTTTTTGAATAAATCCTCTTCCCTCAGTTTCATTGTGAATGTAGTATCATGAGATCAGAGTGCTTGTTTCAACACTTCCAAGTTTCTGTAGGTGTATTTTCAATTGTACTACTGTAAAGTGAATAAAAGAAATACAAGAAAACTGGCCCTTCAGAGCTGTTTGACCTCATTACATATATTTTTATTCAAATTGGGCATAGTTTGTTAACATTTAACAAATGCCCATATACTAATGCATTACAGCTAGCAGTGTTCCATGTCCTAAGTTACTATAAATCAATTGTTCATGATTCTTGCTATCATATACCCATGTTAAATAAAAGCTTCACTGAGTCAAGCATTAGAAGTGGTCTTTTAAACATCATTTATAGTAGTGGTCAAATTGGCCAGATGTTTTTGCCATTTTCTATTTCCTGGAAGTATATGCCCGAATACCACAAGGAACATTATTTGTTCCTTGAGGAAGGCATGAGTAAGCTCTATGAAGTCAAGACATCAAATAGCTATATTTTTTTTCAGCAGGGGCATCATGTAAAAGAGGCTGCATTAAGTATAACAAACTGAGGGTTTAAAGGTTAAACCCATAGACTTTTCATCATCATCAACAATTCAGGATATAAGCATATATCACAGGAAAACAGCCACACTTAACAGGCTTGGGTCTACTATGAAGCGAAGTGAAAAGTAATCTTGACAACCACTTTTTTTTTTCAACCCTGAGGAAACATTTCAGAGAAACATTTGTGTGTCAGGAGTTATGTTAAATCTCTTATTGTAACAGAAGAATGCAGTCGTCTCAGTATGGGTCCCCTCATGCAACCAGTCCCACTTCGTTCCACCAATTTGGCGGCAACTTGAGAGGCGCCTCACATCAGCAACAATAGAGCAGCTGCTCATCAGCGTCAATAGGCTCAGCGGACCTGTGGCTTTATGCGTTTGCGCGCCCTTTTTCTCTGCTCTCTTATGACTGAGATTGCTCTCATATAGAGCTCTGGGTCTTTTTTTTAATGATACGACTTAGATATTGTGATCACAAAAAACAATAGACCAAACAACACAACCATCTTCTTTTCGCCCATTTATTGAAAAAGAAAACAAGTTTTAAAAAGACAAAATATTTGAAGTGTCACAAACATATTGTCCTCGAATATGACGTTTTCCATAATTATGATGAGTAGTTTTAACACACAGTGTTTACAGACTTCATTTGCACAGACCAAAGTACTAACAAGTATAGTAAAAGATAAGTCCATGGTGCAAACCTCAACTAAAACAACCCTTGGGGTTTTACAAAAGTGTTGTCAACAACCCATATCTTTGAAACCCCAAAGAGGATTGCATTTAAAAACGTTCATAGACCTGTGTCTGAGATCTGTGCTCGTTTGCTCTCTGACATTAAACGTGTCATGATACAAATACTGAATTAAATAATTATTATCAAGCAATTTCTACAACTTTGACGGTGATGACTACAGTTTAGAGAACTTGTCAAGCATAAGAAACATCACAAAATGAAAAACACATGTTAGAATTAAGTCCATCTATTCTACCAGGGTCTCCACATGGCCGCGCTCACAGCCTGCGGGACTGGTTGCGCGCGGCTGGGAGCCACTGCGCTGCTGTTACTGCGAGACTGGCTCTCCAGTCGGGAGCTGAAGCTGGATTTGAGGCTCAAGAGTCTCTGCTGGATCTGGGGGAATGTCTTGGAGCTCTGAGCACAGCAGTTTAGGCAGGTTGGGGTAACGGTTGCAGATCTGGACTGCTGGATGAACTCATTTACGCGATGGCACGTCTCTTGATCCAGGCTGGTTTTTGGAAGCAGTGCGGAGACGCGCTGGAGGCAGGCCTTGTAGCCTTCTCTGTAACTCTCTGTTGAGTCTTGGGGAAGAAAGGAGGTGATCAGTGGCTTGAATTTATAATGTGACCTTCAATATCAGAAATATATCTGCATTGTTGAATCGCAGTTTAGGAGATGCTCACCTTTGACAGGAGTGGAGGGGAGGTCTCGGAGGAAACGGACGGTCATTTCTAGAATATCAGCTTTCTCCAACTTGGAGTAGCGAGCGTTGTCTTTGCCAATCAGAGGAAGAATCAGGCTTTTCAAGTGACTGAGACTGTCGTTGATACGAGCACGTCTTCTCTTCTCCAGTAAAGGTTTCAAAGTCTGTGAGAAATGATAGAAGTCCGTTAATCGGCTGCGATTTAAAACAGTTCAATCATAAAACAGTCTTGTTGCACATTACCCTGTTGTTTGTCTCTTTCCCTTACCTTTTTCAGTTCGTGGGCCTGTTTTCTCTGTGCCACGGTGGACCTGGCAGGAAGAGGCTGGGTGGCCTCGGCGGTGATGCTGGGACTCATTTCGTGTGCAGCTGTTTTGCTTTTGAGAGTAGGGTACTTGCTCTGAGAGCGGCTGGGCTGAAGTGTGCCTGTGCGCTGTGAAGCCTCGTATTTATGTGCCACCAGCGCGTCGGAGGGGAGGGGTCAGCAGTCGTCATGCAATGGGTCTGACAGGCGAAAGGGGGAGTCTGGGTCTGAGCGCAGCTCCTCTGGGACCATCTGGTCCCGTCGGGCTTCTGCGTGTATCGCTGGTATGCGGACTTTGGTGATGACGTTACGTTATAGAGTTTCAAATTTAAGCTTTAACGTTCACCCATCAAATTACGCATTCAGACAATGCTCTTTGTTCCCTTCACATACAGGGGTCAGGCACGTGGTGACTGCGTCAGTCTTCCTAATTACGATGCGTTCTGGGGTTTTTTTTTCATTGTCATTTTTTTATTTGTCTGGTTATGCAGTAAATTGCTGTTCTTTATGTTTATTATTGGTTATTGTCGCATTGGAAATTACAAAACGAGCGGCTAAATCTGGAAAATGTCACTCCACTTCGATTAGGTGTATGTTAAGTTTTTTTTTGTTTGTTTGTTGGTTTGTTTTTTGCAATATAAACGAAATAAAGTATCAACGTAATATGAGTAATAATCAACATTTAGTCACCTTTCATGTCTACCAACTCACCCAGCCTTCTCCCCAAAATTGAAACACAGAGCCAGATGAGCGATTTTGGGTCGGCGGGACTAATCTATTCCCTGCACTAATGAAACAGACACCCAAGCAACGCCATGTATGTACTAACATCTGCTTGTGAACTATTGTTTCCAATATCGACAACATGATGTTTACCTGGGCCAGTGTGGGGGGTGACTGAGTGACGTAAAAGACCTTCAACACAAGCGCAGAGGCGCGTCCATCTGTAGGCTTTGTCTGTTCAACAACAACAACAACAAACACAACAAGCATGCAGTAAACAGGCGAGATCCCGCTGCAGAGACAGTTGTCATGTATTTAGATCAAGGACTAAATCAAAAACAGATACCTTAAAGGGGGTACTCCAACAGAAGTCCAGACTGTAAACACGATATTTCTTTTTATGATAATGAATTTACAGATATACCCATTCAAAAAGACAAGTTCTGTTTCAAAGACTTTTATTCCACCTCTGCCTGTGTTGGAGTTGACTATGGAGTAAGCTGGCATTAGGATTCACGCGTTCGGCACGCGCCACAACCGTGCAACAGATGGTCCCCCCCTTTCCTGTTCTCTTCCGACTATTACACCCCCCACCCCCAACTAACTGCTGCTTCTGCTTCCAGCATCCCGACCACTGCTGCCCTGCTCTGTGTGTCTCTCCTCCATTAATATGGGGGGTTTTGGAGGGAAGCTTATAGCGCACAAGCACAAACGCCTGTTTAATACGGAGTAATAAGAACCAACAAAGCATAAAATACGTGTTTGCAAGAAAGAATTTCAACTCTTTAATGGTGTGAGCAAATCACACATAGAGCCTAGGCTTCATCAGAAATTAAGATGTGATTTTCCCCTGAACATCACTGTGCTACACGTTACGCACTTGTTTTCTAAAAGGAATAAAATGCGTTTACTGAAAAAAAGTTCTTACAGAGTTTTTTTTTATATAGCAGAAATGTTTGATAGTACATCAGCTCATATCATTTTGCTGAGGACTGAAATCCTCCTCGGCTACAAGCTGTCCCACTCGAGGGTTTTCAGTCCTCTTTATAAAAAGCATTGTAGATGCACGGTTTTGCACGCGCTCTGTCCCATGGGGCCCCAAATAACTGCCATCAAGTCCAGTCTGAGAACGGGTGAGATGAGACAAAAAAGTCAAAGAGAGGCTTCAGTTGGGACCCTTTATGTCCTACTTTTAGCGTGGGTATCCATCTGTGCAAGCTGAGAGCACAGGGATCCTTTGTGGGAAGATGCAGAAAAGATTCACTAAAATGTCAGCATCCCCATTTGAAGAGGGAAATGAGCAGCTCTTCTGTTAAACTAACTTCTTTTTGGAATTGGTTGTATGATTATATTTGGATTGCACCGTTTCGGGTTTCTCTGTAGTGTTTTATTTATATTATTACCAACGATTATTCCAACATTTCCTATTTGAATTGATCACCAGTTGTGGTCGAGCGTTGTTGGAGGAAAAGGGTGAACTTTTAATCTAGAAATTAACACATAGAAAAGTTCATATCTGAACGTTTAAAAGATAAACCATCAAGTATTCTATTTAGTTGTTTAAAGGGCATGAGACTGACACGAGCCGCACTGTTCAGACAGATGGAACCTGCGCACGTCTAATGATGCGTAAAACCAAAAGCGTCGACTCTGCCTCGTTAAAGGTGATCGTCTCGACAGCGTCTACATGGAGGACTCCAAACCTCGAAGTTCCACAGCTTCCAGCTGGTCTTTTTTTTTTCTATTTGATGAAAAGATATATGGCATCACAAGCCGTATTGAACGCCAACATGATCCGCATCACAGTAAAGCATCCCGCTGATGGTGTCTGCTTTAACTGAGCTCCCTTTGGTTATTAGTTCATAAACAAATCCCAATAAACTGAACTTACACTGAAATGATCTCCTTGATGACTACAAATTTAAGTTAGTATTTGTAAACTATATTACTTGAACCAAAAACGTATTGATTCTGTTCTGGGAGAAAGGAGGCAATCCTTCACATCAGTTTTCATCTGTAGTCAAATGAAAAGAAAGCTTCATTACAGCCCATGGAACAAAATATGAAACTGTACTGTATATATGTCTAAGAGGAACAATCACTGACGGAGCAGACTAATTAAAAAGCTGCCTCAGATTTATTACATTCGGATCAAAATGTCACTGGAAATGTTGGGAAAGAAAAGCAGAATTTTCCGATGCATCATGACTTTTACCGAATTTTCAAAATAAAAGATATCAGAGCAACTGAAGCTTTTTCTGTGTTTTGTTGCCATAAAAATGAATTACTATGTCTTGTCTCTCAAATCTGGATTTTTTGTTTGTTTGTTTATTCAAACAACCAGGTATGATGCTCGAAATGAAACTGTTTAGTTTTGAGGAAAGTGAAAGGAAAGGAAAAAGCTGTCGGTCTTAAATAGTGAGACAAATGTTCTGATAGAGCAGTATTACCTCTATATTTCAACATTTCAGTTTCTTTCAGTCATGAATTGTTTTTCTCTTTGTCAAGAGAGGCGTTGTCCTGCTTTTTACCTGATATAATCACTGCAGATAGTGGACTGTTGAAATATTTCAGAGGTTGTGGTTAAAAATATTAACCATGTTTCATCCTACAGAAAAGAAAATGGAAACATTTAATAAGGTTATTGATAAGATCTTTTAGTTTGCTTCCTTCTCTCCAGCAGGCTCAAGGAATATGATGCCTCAATCAGCTTCAAGAGGGAGTTTTTGATAAGATGAATCATGTACCAGAAATGTGAGCTTTACTTGTTGTTCCAGCCCCAGTACCAATAGTTTATACCCCTACATTAACACCGCAGCGGTATTAAGTAGTCAGATCCAACTGTTGGTTTTAAAAACAGCTTTGAGTTCTTTGGTCACTTGTATAAACCTGTGACTTCATGTTCCTGCAGCCAAAAGTAACATCTAAAAACATTTACAGATGGAGTGTGCAGCTGTAGTATTACAATGAACTCAAGTATCAGAGATTATAGCCTTAATTCAACTATATTACTTATTTCCTTTTATTTTTTGATTCTCACTCAAACACCTCATCATTAACTATCAAAGTATGTGAACTGAATAACCACTTTTTGTAATGGAAAGGGATGACTATCAGCCTGCTGTTCAAAAGCAGTTTGGTGTAGAGATGAGAAAGTGGCCATGGCAGGAGAGGCTTTACTAATGCTGCACCCTCTGCTCTTTAAAGAAGAGGGTCTGTCAGCCCACTGTCCCAAAGTCAGCAACCATGACAGGCAGTAGATGGAGAGGTGCCCATGGCATAAGTAGCTTACACTGCAGGGGAGGCTTCTTTAATGCTAACCTTAAGATACAGGTTTTGGAGCAACATAGGCTGCCACTCAGATGATTTCTGTCTCAAGGAAGACTTTGCATATTTCAGCAAGAAAATACCAAACCCCATTCTGCTCATAGAACAACTTGCCAGACAGCTTGCTAACTCCTTACCAGAAGAGTCTGGGTCACTCAAAGAAAATATTTGGTACATTACGAAAAGGAGAGAACAACATAGTCTCACAAATGTTGTGAAAAGAAGAGTGATTGCAGCACAAGTCCCATTTTTGGAGCATGTTGCTGAGGTCAAATTTAAAATGGAGCTTATATCTCATAAAAAAGGTATTAGTTTCAATATTTGATGTGTATCCTTTGCACAACTTTGAACTAAATATAGGGTGTAAATTATCTGTAAACTTGAACTCTATTTGAATTGAAGTTTTACACAGCATGCAAACTGTTTTGGGATTGGGGTTGTAATTTGTTACAAAATACATCCATTGTGGACATTTTTGACGAGTAAAAGAAAACACTTACGAGAAGCATTTCACTATAAGACAGTCTCTTAGTATTGAAAGTCCCCGGTAAGTTAATAGGCTTTAAAGGAAACTGACATAGAAAATTACAAATATATTATATACACATCTATTTAAGATGAAGACTCGACCCCCAAACAGCTTCATGGTAGGACTATGATCAGACAGGTTAGGAGAGGGTGACTTTTTGACACCCTACCTCAGTGCACTGATGTGTTGTGAGTTGACCTCTGTCCATGGTGCTGAAAAAGGAGAGGTTGATTTAAGCCCAGATGTGGTGATAGATTTTGACATTTAAGTAATTTTTTAAAAACTTGATTGTATGTATTTTGGTTAAACAAATGTCCCATACCATTTAACATGCTGAATGAATAACAAAGTACATGGTGCTCCCTTGCCTCTTCTTTTGTTTAAAGGCCAAATGAGACACTTTGCTTGGCCTTGACACCAGAAGAGGAATAATGAAGCTTTTCAACACTTCCACTCTCTTAACAGTATTCTACAGTATAGACAGAGACCCTGATGAGGCAAGATGAGG